CTGGCGGGAAGAGAGAGAGAAAGGAAAGGTTTATTTTGGGATTTCTTTTGTTTCACGAATTGTGGCCATTCTGCTGGGACATGGGCTGGCTTCGGACACACATGTGGGAGTTTGTAGCTTGTGTGTATATGTATATATGTGTGTGTGTGTGTATGTGTGTGTGTGTGTGTGTGTGTGTGTGTGTGTGTGTGTCTATGTGTGTGTGTATGTGTGTGTGTGTGTGTGTATGTATTAATGTATAAATATATATATACATGTATACATATATACATACATACATACATGCATACATATATATATATAAGTATATGTGTGTGTGTGTGCATACACATGTGAAAAGGAAGAGGAACAAGAGTCGGAAAAAGGAAGAAAAATGAGAGAGAGGGAGGAAGGGAGAGAGAGAGAGGGAGGAAAGGGAGAACAACAACCCACAGATTCCAAGAAAGATTTAAAAAAAAGGAGGGTGGTGGTGGGTTGGGGTGGGGGGGGGGGTGCATTTTTTCACTCTTCTCCAAATTCAATTCTCCGGAGTAAAAGGCAAGATTATTAACAGGAGTCTGTCTTGGGCTTCAGTCAGAGTTCAATTAGGACGATTGGCTGATGCAGGGACCGAGGAAGACCTTCTCCCTCCTCTCCCCCTCCTCTCCCCTTCTCTCCCCTCTCTTCCCTCCTTTCCCTTCCCTCTCTCAGCCTCTCTTCTCTTCTCCCTTCCTCTCCACTCCCTCTCCCCCTCCTCTCCCTTCTCTCCCTTCTCTCCCCTTCTCTCCCCTCCTCTCCCCTTCCCTCCCCTTCTCTCCCCTTCTCTCCCCCTCCTCTCCCCCTCCTCTCCCCTCCTCTCTCCTCCTCTCCCCCTCTCCCCTCCGCTCCCCTCCTCTTCTCTTCTCTCTCCTCCTCTCCCCTCCTCTCTCCTCCTCTTCTCTTCTCTCTCCTCCTCTCCCCTCCTCTCTCCTCCTCACCCCTCCTCTCTCCTGCTCTCCCTTCCTCTCCCTCCTCTCCCTCCTCCCCCTCCTCTCCCCTCCTCTTCTCTTCTCTCTCCTCCTCTCCCCTCCTCTCTCCTCCTCTTCTCTTCTCTCTCCTCCTCTCCCCTCCTCTCTCCTCCTCACCCCTCCTCTCTCCTGCTCTCCCTTCCTCTCCCCTCCTCTCCCTCCTCTCCCCTCCTCTCCCCTCCTCTCCCTCCTCTCCCTTCCTCTCCCCTCCTCTCCCCTCCTCCCCCTTCTCTCCCCTTCTCTCCCCTTCTCTCCCTTCTCTCCCCCTCCTCTCCCCTCCTCTCCCCCTCCTCTCCCCTCCTCTCCCCCTCCTCTCCCCTCTTCTCCCCTTCTCTCCCTTCTCTTCTCTCCTTTCCCCTCCCTCTCTCACCCTCTCTTCTCTGCTTCCTCTTTTCCCTTTCTCTCCCTCCTCTCCCCTCCTCTCCCCTCCTCTCCCTTCTCTCCCCTTCTCTCCCCTTCTCTCCCTTCTCTTCCCTCCTTTCCCCCCCCTCTCTCAGCCTCTCTTATCTTCTCCCTTCCTCTCCACTCCCTCTCCCACCCTCTTTCTCTCCTCCCTCCTGTCCCCTCCTCTCTCCTCCTCTCCCTTCTTCTCCCCTCCTCTCCCTTCCTCTTCCCTCCTCTCTCCTCCTCTCCCCCTCTCCCCTCCGCTCCCCTCCTCTTCTCTTCTCTCTCCTCCTCTCCCTCCTCTCTCCTCCTCTTCTCTTCTCTCTCCTCCTCTCCCCTCCTCTCTCCTCCTCACCCCTCCTCTCTCCTGCTCTCCCTTCCTCTCCCTTCCTCTCCCCTCCTCTCCCCTCCTCTCCCCTCCTCTCCCTCCTCTCCCCTCCTCTTCCCTCCTCTCCCTTCCTCTCCCCCCCTCTCCTTCCTCTCCCCTCCTCTCTCCTCCTCTCCCCCTCCTCTCCCCCCTCTCCTTCCTCTCCCCTCCTCTCTCCTCCTCTCCCTTCCTCTCCTCTCCTCTCCTTCCTCTCCTCTCCTCTTCCCTCCCCTCCTCTCCCCTCCTCTATTGGAGAGATAAGGAAGAAGATTTTTTAGGGGAAAATGAAATTTGAACTTGGAAAACGACAGAGAGATAATTCACAGAAATAGATTTGAAAGACGGCTGAGATAGATATGCATATAGCTGATTAGGAGAGGGAAAAGATATAGGGAAATTCTCGGGGAAAAAGTGCCTTTTGGGATATTATTTTCGGAGGTGAATAGGGGAGAGAAAGATGTCTCAGGGAATATTAAGCAAAGAATTTGATTTCTTGAATGTAGGTCAGTGGGGGGGGATTTTTTTTTTTTTTTTTTTTTTGGGGGGGGGGGGTGGTAAGAGGGATATTTAAGGGGGGAGGGGGGATATGCTTTGGATAATTATCCGCCGGGTTATTTAGGGAAATGATTTGAGAAAATGTTATTATTTGGATAGATAAGCTGGGAAAGATTGCAAAGGTTCATGATGCAGGGAAATAGACGAATAGAGGAAGTCAGATTGGCTAGAATACAAAGAGGATTTAGGGAGACTGAAAAAGACCGAATCGAGGATTTTCGTCCATATTGGGAGTCTTGCTTTTTTCAGTCTCCATTTTGATTTTGGTTTTCTTTACGTGCGAATTTGTTTTGCTTGTTTTTTTTTTTTCTCTCTGAGAAAGATGGGCAGATGTGTGAGCATGACAATATGCATCACTATGCGTTCCATACCCACACTCAAATATCATATATATATATATATGTGTGTGTGTGTGTGTGTGTGTGTGTGTGTGTGTGTGTGTGTGTGTATGTGTGTGTGTGTGTGTGTGTGTGTGTGTGTGTGTGTGTGTATATATATATGTGTGTGTGTGTGTGTGTGTGTGTGCGTGTGTGTGCGTGTGTGTGTGTGTGTGTGTGTGTGTGCATTTAGGTGTGATTCGTATTTGGAGAAAATGAATCAATGTTTCACAAATTAGGCCAGAAAGTCGAACAAAAGCCTTGGGGACATCGATTGATACATCCTTTATTATTTAGATATTTTTTCTTCCTATTTTTCTCAGCTCTTCTTTTCTATTTCTTTCTTCACGTATTACTTAAATCAGCGTGTTTATTTGTGTGTGTGTGTGAGACAATGAGAGAGATACGCGGGGAGGGAAAGAGAAAGAGAGAAAGATGGAGAGAGAGAGAGAGAGAGAGTGAGAGAGAGAGAGAGAGAGAGAGAGAGAGAGAGAGAGAGAGAGAGAGAGAGAGAGAGAGATACGCTGGGAGAGAGAAAGATGGAGAGAGAGAGAGACAGACAGACAAACAGTCAGATAGAGACAGGAAAAGAGACTGGAAGATTGAGAGAGATGGGGGGGGGACACAGAGAGAGACAGGGAGACAAGAGTGACAAGAGAGAGAGAGAAAGAGTAAGAGAGACAGATAAACTGTTAGACAGTCAGACAGAGAGAGACAGAACAGAGAAATGACGTGAAAGGGAGAACCTATATATGTGTATAGATACGAAGCCAGAACCAGCACATCGATATACAGATGGACAGATTCAAAGATCTAACTGATAGGTATAAATCCATTGCATATGTATAAACGCATAAATGTATAAATGAACACTCTTCATGTACACCATACCTCGAAAACATTTAAAAACAGTATTCTGTATGTATTCAACATGATTCAGCCATCGCCCAACACAATGCAGAATTCCCACAGTATGGACAGCAGAGAGTTGTATGGTAAAATGTTAATTGGTTCTCTAGCACTATTCTCACTGGTCCTGTTGAGAGCGGAGATGAATCATGCGGAAGAGATAAAGTGAGAGTTGGAGAGATAGGCAGAAGTAGAGAAGGAAGAGAGAGTAAGAAAATGGAGAAATATGCTTAAATACAGCGAGGGAGAGTGAAAGCGAGAGAGAGAAAGAAAGAGAAAGAAAGAAAGAGAGAGAGAGAGAGAGAGAGAGAGAGAGAGAGAGAGAGAGAGAGAGAGAGAGAGAGAGAAAGGAAAGGTTATTTTGGGATTTCTTTTGTTTCAACGAATTGTGGCCATTCTGCTGGGACATGGGCTGGCTTCGGACACACATGTGGGAGTTTGTAGCTTGTGTGTATATGTATATATGTGTGTGTGTGTGTATGTGTGTGTGTGGTGTGTGTGTGTGTGTGTGTGTGTTGTCTATGTGTGTGTGTATGTGTGTGTGTGTGTGTGTATGTATTAATGTATAAATATATATATACATGTATACATATATACATACATACATACATGCATACATATATATATATAAGTATATGTGTGTGTGTGCATACACATGGTGAAAAGGAAGAGGAACAAGAGTAGGAAAAAGGAAGAAAAATGAGAGAGGGAGGAAGGGAGAGAGAGAGAGGGAGGAAAGGGAGAACAACAACCCACAGATTCCAAGAAAGATTTAAAAAAAAGGAGGGTGGTGGTGGGTTGGGGTGGGGGGGGTGCATTTTTTCACTCTTCTCCAAATTCAATTCTCCGGAGTAAAAGGCAAGATTATTAACAGGAGTCTGGTCTTGGGCTTCAGTCAGAGTTCAATTAGGACGATTGGCTGATGCAGGGACCGAGGAAGACCTTCTCCCTCCTCTCCCCTCCTCTCCCCTTCTCTCCCTCTCTTCCTCCTTCTCCTCCTCTCCCCTCCTCTCCCCTCCTCTTCTCTTCTCTCTCCTCCTCTCTCCCTCCTCTCTCCCCTCCTCTCCCCTTCTCTCCCCCTCCTCTCCCCTTCTCTCCCTTCTCTCCCTCCTCTCCCCTTCTCCTCCCCTCCTCTCCCTTCCTCTCCCCTCCTCTCCCTTCTCTCCCCTCCTCTCCCCTCCTCTCCCCTCCTCTCTCCTGCTCTCCCTTCCTCTCCCCCCCTCTCCCCTCCGCTCCCCTCCTCTTCTCTTCTCTCTCCTCTCTCCCCTCCTCTCCTCTCTCCCTCCTCTCTCTCCTCTCTCCCTCCTCTCTCCTCCTCTCTCCTCCTCTCACCCTCCTCTCTCCTGCCTCTCCCTTCCTCTCCCCTCCTCTCCCCTCCTCCCCCTCCTCTCTCTCCTCTCTCCCTCCTCTCTCTCCTCCTCT